ATTGATTTTAATGTCCCTTCAATAGTGAAGATTAGAGCACAGCAACCAGAGATGTCAACTGTAACAATTCTGTTACGTACGTGCGTACGAACATTCGCCCGTTCACGCAAAACCCCAAATTTCGGAAATTCGTACGAATTCCGAATCCGATCCGAATCCCAAAACAAAAACCCATACAGGACCCGATTTTGGAAATACAAAACTAAACAAATTTTTTTGCGGCTGCACATGTCTAGTTTGAGACACCTCTGAGATCATTCAGAATCCATTGACAGGTGTAGCTGACCTGCTTTAAGTGTGTTTTTTTCCATTCCAATAGGCTTGTATGGGAAATCAAAACCCGCTTAAAGTGAACAAAAGCTGTCAACATCTTAGGGTGCTTGTGAATTTTCCTAAATTGCTTACAGCAGGAAATGAAAGGCTGTGGCTCCAATGTGCACTTGGCAGCAATTCTCCCAGAAGGGGATTCAATAAAGCATTTGACACTGCTTGCGTTATAGCTGTAGTAGAAAGTCCTGCACCAAATCAATGAAACCCAGCGCATGCAACAAATGCAGGTGCTATGGCTGCAACAAATTCATTAGGAGATACCTCCATATTGGTGATAAGAAAAATAGTGAAGGTACAGAAGATTTCTTCCATGTTGGAGTAAATTGTGTTGCTTCAGACACAACATTATGAAAGGAAAGCCTTTCAACATTCAAAAAACAGTCATTAGTCATGCTTGCACAGACAACCACATGACAGTCTCATGGTAGTAATGAGTTTCAGCTTTGCAGCCACTAATCCAATGAGAATTATTTCTACAGAATGGCCCCCTACCTAAAGAGTCACTTTCCTCCTTTGGACTCATGACTGCTGGCTTCTTGTGAATTCTGTACTCTGAATTCAGTGAAGAAATTAGGTCCTATATAATTAGATGACGGTCATACAACAAACATGAGTCTTTCAACCAACCGCTCAGTAAGTGCCAATAGCTGGATTTAGCCACAGTTCTGCATCATGTTATTTTTAATACTGGAGGAATATTGATTTAAAATTACTTTGCAGAGCTTCCTAAAATAACCATTCACTGTAGTGTCTGTTCTATAACTCTGTCTGTGCAGGTCTGGTAATGTAAACTCTGAAGAAGACCAAAAATAAATAAAATGATATTCAGTGATCATTTATCATACTGACCTACTAGCATAATGATTTATCATATATAATTGAAGCATGGAAGGATACAGCGGAGGAAGCAGCAAATGTTCCTTGGAAATGAACAGAGCTGACTGACTAATAAGTTTGATTCTTATTTTCACAGAGGTCTACAGAAGCATCAATCCAAATTGGACAATTGTTATTTGCTAGATGTGCCATCTGTAGACTATACCCCCCCAACCAACCCCTTTCCCCCCATCCCGGCAAATTTTCTTGGTGGTAAGATCCATCTTGCAGGGTGGATACTATTAACCAACTGCCTGATATGAGTCACCAACTCATATCAGGTGTCATGACCTCTTATAGACACATGCTCGATCCAGGCTAATGAGGAGCTTGGAGCAAACCTAGTTCAAAACTGACAGCCAACCCCACCCCGACCCCCTCTGGCCCAATCAGCGGTGGAATTTATGGCGGAAACAATCCCTGCCCCTTTGTGATTCATAGCTGCGGGATGGGAATGCGTCCATCGCCACTGATTGGGCTGGGAGGGGGGTGTCGGTCACAGTTTTGAACAGGCTTAGGCAAGATCAGATGAACTGGGTCCAAGCTCATCAATACTAGTAGCTCAAAGTCCTGAAAAAGGATAAAGGCAGTCCTGGTTCATACAAAAAATGATCATACAGTAAAAAAGAAAACCTTGTGTAAAAGGACCTAGGGATTTATGTCAATTGCGAGAGGAGACCAGCAAATCCAACCAAAAAGTATAATGAAAAGACGGTTCTTAAGAAAAGCTGGATCTAATCTAAACCCTTCATTTCAACAATTGATAGCCCTGGTTTATACACCTTTAGAATAAGTCATCAATGGTAGCTCCCATGTTTCTCTAATGAAAGATCCCATTAAGGGGGTGTCCATTCAATGACTAATGATGCATGCTTAGCTATTACAAGTGATGCATGCTCAGCCATTAAGTCCCTGCGCACACCTGCACGATATGGAGCGCTCCTGCCATTGCACGATGATGAATGACAAAATGATTCCCATTATTCTTTATTGCAATCTGTCTCCCACCTATGCAATGCGCTTCCGTGTGACTAGGAAAATGGTGCCGGCGCTTCTTTCGGTGCATAGTGTGTTTTAGCCCTGTAGATTTCAATAACAGCGCATATAAAATGCATGTAACACATTCTTCCTCCAAGCAACCTTTATTTTATTTCACTTTCATTGGCCAAAACGCATAACATATGAAAAACACGCTAAAAAAGCTTGACAATGCAGACACACAAGTGTGAATGGAGGCTAAGAGACGCTCATTTCTACACTGTTTTCTCCATCTCAAATTTAAAGGCTGCATATTGTGCAGTTGGAAAAATTAATAATCACATTTTCACTGCTATAGTGAGATAAAAGTTAAAGAACTCCGGGCATAATTATTCTTAACCCTTGCAGTGGGGCTACCCCCGCACTTCAAGGGTTAAGTGCTTGTATTTGTCTAGGGACTAAACTAAAACAAGTTATACTCACCTGAACCTCATAGCCGTCTGGCTGTTAGACTAGTCCCTGCCACCTCGCTCCCCCTCCGCTCCAGAAGTCCAAGGTCCTGCGAGTACAGTGTACAGAATGTGAGGATGCAGAGGGGCATTCTATCTCTGGAGTGGAGGGAAAGAGGGGCTTCAGGGTCCGGAGTAGCAGCCAGTCGGCTCCATGGTTCAGGTGAGTAGACCGTTATATACTGGCCCTAGATTAAAACAAACACTTAACCCATGCAGTGCGGGGGTAGCCCCACTTGCAAGGGTTAATAAAAATGATATATTTCTAAAGATTTTGTAATCTACGGTTACTTGTGGTATATTTTTTACTTACATCATCTGTGGTATAGGAGGCATTATGTATACCTGGAGCTTCAATCAATATATATTTTGATATATTTGCATGATGTTAGACTCTGAACATTGTGATCAAAATAATATTCACATCCATTCATTACCGAAGTAGTTATTTGTGAATGCAGACCACTCACTTTAATACAAGTCATAAGACTTGGGGCACCTTGTGAGGAATCACATTTGAATGTACGCAGTAGCTGACCAAAATTAGAATACAAGAAAGCCATTGTTTTGACATGGAATGGGGAAGTTTGCAGAAGTTTGCAGAGGTTTCGATAAAGTCAGAAGTGCAAAGAAACCGTTGGGGTTTTTTTTTCAAAATTAATCAGGTGAAATTCACTTAAATCTGACAGTCTTACCGGGGCACAAAAATATTATTGTTCTAATGTTTATGTCAACTGAAGCCTGAAAAGCAAAATGACTGAAACAAAATAAAAGTCATTGTTTATAGATTTCTGACAGTCTTCAACAAAACAAGAAACACTTCCTCAAAATAAGAAACTGGCTCCTAAAATGAAGACATACACAGAGATAATGAGTGTTTTTGTCTCTGTTATGAAACAGTTTCAGCTACATGGCCTTAGGACGGAATATTGCAAATACTTGTACTTGTGTTTGCTTGCTGTCTTTTGATGAACTTTGTGTGAGCTGGAGATTTTTGACAGAAGGTGAGAACGGGTGAGCTAGGAGATCAAGAAAATCCTGCAATGATGTATAGAAATTCATATAACAGGACACATAACCTGTATGGGTATGCTGTCTCGATTTACAGGACATCAAAGCGGTTTATTTATTACAGCACTGACAGTTTACACAGCCCTTTAAATATTGTACCTTCGAATCACTCCTTGCTCTCTAGGAGCTTACATTCTAAGGTCCCTATCTCACATGCTTTCACACGAGGACCAATTTAGACAGGGGACAATTATCCTACCAGCATGTATTTGGAGTGTGGGAGGAAACCCGAACAAGCACAGGGAGAAGATGCAAACAATATGCAGGTAGTGTCATGGTTGGCATTTGAACTGAGGATGCCAGCGCTGCAAAGCACTAAGCCACTGCACTGCCCCTATTAGCATAGGTCAACTGAGTGAGTGCAAAAAGGCAAAGTAAACTGTCATCACTGGTGAGCCCAAAGAGGCAAAAGTCAACTGTCATCACTGGTATGCCCAACAAAAGGTAAAGTCAACTGTCATCACTGGTGAGCCCAAAAAGGTAAAGTCAACTGCCATCACTGGTATGCCCAACAAAAAAGGTAAAGTCAACTGTCATCACTGATGAGCGCAAAAAGGTAAAGTCAACTGTCATCACTGGTATGCCCAACAAAGGGTAAAGTCAACTGTCATCACTGGTGAGCCCAAAAAGGTAAAGTCAACTGCCATCACTGGTGAGCCCAACAAAAGGTAAAGTCAACTGTCATCACTGGTGAGCCCAAAAAGGTAAAGTCAACTGCCATCACTGGTGAGCCCAACAAAAAGGTAAAGTCAACTGTCATCACTGGTGAGCCCAAAAACGGTAAAGTGAATTGTTATCAATGGTGAGCCCACACACAAAAAAAAGGTAAAGTCAACTGTCATCACTGGTGAGCCCACAGAAAGGCAAAGTCAACTATCATCACTGGTGAAGGCAAAAAAGATAAAGGGTGTACTTATTAAAAGGTGTCTACTCTGTGCACACAAATTCCTCAAGCTGATTTAAAAGTAAGTACCATCATAGTTCTGTGCAAAGCATATCTTGAAAAGTTCAGCTGTATTTACATGGCAGTCTTATCTATCTGCAATCTCCATGTCTATAGCAGTACGATAATAGCCCTAACACCTATGACAGATAAGGTTCATGACCCACAGGTAACAAAGTGATAAAAGGCAAAAGTAAAGTGATACACACAGCACATGGGAAAGTCAAGGCACACATTAATAATTCATTAATTCATAAGAGATCAGCGATGATGATGATGATGATAGAACTTACATATCTATTAATGAGGCTCCTCAGCCTGCTGCAATCCATGGCTAGTGACAGCTGCTCCGACACCTCTCCTATGCCTCCTTCCTTCCAGCTCCTGCTATTCTCCCATCCATACACCGGCTATGAATGATTTCTTGCGATGAATATTTGTAGTCACACAATGAAGAGTGGCCTCCTTTTAGAACGGGTAAGCTTATACTTTCTGGAGGTGATCACAAGTGATAAAGGAAGCTTCACATGGGTTGTGTATTTGTTAACAAGTGCTGCTCGCGGTGTAAGAGATAAATTGTTATATTATTATCTCCACTCCATCTATCGATCGGTGTCTCTCGCATTGGGATTTCCTTGATGAGATTTGCCCGATGTGTATCTTTGGTCTCGCTGTTCCTCGGTTTGGCAGGGTCAGTGGAATCATTCGGCTTGGCCCCCTCCTGTGGATTTCCAACTAGATGCTTGTTTCTCTTTGATGATCAGTTCCCTCTTCCACACACTCACACCCCTTACCGTCTCATGTAACACTACCCCTCCCAGCTCTCGGCTTGTGATCCTCCCCTTCCTAGCCTCCTCTCATACCTTTTCGCCATGGCTCGTCTCTGATCACTCACTGCCAGTCATTCTCTAGCCTC